TCGGGGTCCCTGTATTTCACACTTCCTTCTCATAGACATTCAGAGCCGGTCAGATTATTTCCACCTGAGCCGGACGATCGTGCGAGAAATCTGGGAAATTGGAGCCACGTACTGTCGTGTGCTTTCAGCCACATAGAAGAAATCAAATTGCACTTCAGCTTCACGGGCCTCGAGGGTCGCTCGTCTGCTGGTGTTCTTGTGTCATGTTGGAGTTTTGAGGGAGCTGGTTTGAATTAATTAGCATATTAAAATTCAAAAGTCTCAGTGAAACGGAAACCCCGGTCCTCTCACAGCTGCTTCTGTTATATCCGGTGTTGACAGAGTGGGCTCGTTCGTAGCCGCTCGTTCCCCCAAATCTGCAAACATGCTCGTCTGTGGGCGCGTGCAGCTTTAACACGAGGTCAACGTGTACATTAAAACTTGCAGATGGACGAGCTCCGTCCGAGCACCAGCAGCTCTTTGACTAACCAGAGGACGGTTTCTGTTAAAAACAAAAACTTTACGTAGAAACCAGACTGTAACCATGCAATCAATATTATCAGCATTTTATTTATTTTATTTTTTCCATGAAATCAAATCAAGTCGTCCTTTTTGTTGTTCTGCTGAATCCTTCTCGGTACACTTGATAAACAGCAGCAGACGTTCCTTCATGAATAGGTGGAGTGAGAGGAGTTGTCGTTGTTCGAGCTGTCAGCTTTTATTTTGAAGAGAGATGCGAGGCGTGAATTGTGTCTGCAGTTTGAGCAAAAGCTCATTGACTTTCAGGCACTCTGGAAACGTCCTTCAAACCCTGCTGCTCCCAGTCCAGTCCCAGTTCTGGGAATCCATCCTACATGAAAAAACATCCTACCCAATGTTTCTGCGCAGACGCGCCGCATGCGCACAAAACCAACGCCGAATTAACGTATTTTTCTCTCACCCATCCGGAATACTTATTAAGGTCATGGTTCGGGTCAAATTATAACACGGGTAGGACGATTTGTCAGAGTAGGATGGTTTTTCAGAACACCGGCTCAGCTGTGGGAGTCCCAGGCCACGTCCACACATTTTCTCTCCGTTTTGGCCTCTCGTCCACGCTGAGGCGACGTCCACACGTACCCGGGTCTTTTTGAAAACGCAGATTTTTCTATGCGTTTGCACCTTTCGTCCACACGTAAACGGCGTTTTCGGTCACTGAAAACGGAGTTTCTAAAACTTCATCTGGCCATCCCTCAGCTCTCTTCTCTCCTTTTCTAACCTCATCCTTCCTCAGCCACCCTTGACCTCGGGGGGGCTGCCGTGCTCATGTTTCGCCACTCGCTCATGTCGAGATGAAACACACACAGAGCGGATGGGAAAAACAGGCTACTGTGATGGATGACTTGTTGCTCAGATGTGAGGACGTCCTTTCTTTTGGGGGGGGGGGGGATCACCGTTGGAGTGAAATGAAATCCTGAACCTTTCATGGAAGGTTCAGGTTGAGGTAAAACTCAAGGTGCACAGATTCAACGTCATTTTCAAAGCGGTGAAGTCGCAGTGACTTCAAGTGGCATAAACAGTACAAAGGAGTCGTGTTTCACAGGATGCGGGAGCATTTGAAGCACTACAGTAATCAGTCTGGGTCTGAAGCCTCTGAAATGTTTTCCACGTAATCAGCCTCCTCTTCGTGCTTTATCTCAGCTGCATGGCAGATCGCGGTGTTCACGCATCGAGAGCCTCATTCACGGTCCGCCCTGAAGCAAACGTAAACAAAGGCTTTAAAGCTGAAATGCTTTTACAACAGTTGTTGTCAAGTTCAAGCTTCCTTAATCCTTAATGTTCACTTGGTTCTTGTCTTTTTACACCAATAACATGAAGGTGACAACTAGAGCAGGGCGATATGACCAAAAATATTTATCACCATATACGTTTGAAAATTTGCGATAACGATATAACTGACGACATAATTGACACGAGACAAAATACTTTACAACTCCACAACTTTATTAGTGCAAAAAACCCACCA